AGCATGTCAGCAGTGGGTATGTGGTTTTCTCATTCGTTCTTTTAAAGTCTTTACCACAAAATTGCCACTTCTAAAGGTTATATTAAGAGATGGGAGTTTGAATATCCTTTGGCTTCACTGGAAATAGTCTGCATGGCAATAGAGGGTGGGGATTTCTCCAGTTTCCAGTAGCCTGCTCCAGTCCAAAAGGCTGTTGCAACCCAATTTGACCTCAGTTATCCTTCTTATACATCCCAAGTTCACTATCTCTCCTGCTGGACTTTTCTTTTTGCAGAGTTCTTTGAGATTTTGATGAGGATACCACTGAGCCGGGTTCCTTCAACGCGCTTCTCTGCTTTTTCCCTAGGTTCCTTAGAAAGAGAGCTTGGACGGCATGCAAAGTTGTGAAATATCTGGAGACAGCACGGATGATCCTCTTAGTAGTGGCCTACGGAGAAAACGACAGCCTCGAATAGTAGTTATTGGTGCTGGGCTTGCAGGCCTGTCCGCAGCAAAAGCGCTCTTGGAAAGCGGTTTCACGGATGTAACTATCCTTGAGGCGACCGATCGAATTGGAGGCCGCGTCCAAAGTGTGAAACTTGGTAAGAGCTGTGTTTCAAGGGGAATTAATCATCCATTGGGCTCTCTTTTTTTTTTTTAATGTTGGCAGGTTTTTGTTTTGTCATGAAGTTAATTTGACGAAACTTGCAAAAGGTTTCTTGGCATGTGCATCTTGGGCTCCTTGCAGGGTGAATGAGTTGGTATGAGTGTGCTTACCTTTGTTTTGCAAGGGAGGGCTGCTCCAAAATGGACCATGTTTCTGTACGTGAAGGTCTTACTGATGATAACACTCACTCTATAAAAGAAGCTCTGTGATTCAATAACTGTAAAGGACAGCTTGCACCACTGTTTTCAGCTGGACTGCCGGCTAGAAGCAATCAGTAAATCTTGCAGGTAGTCTCTTTCTCTGTGACTTACATCGCAGCAAAGGGGCAAGCTCAGTGCTGTTCTGTTTCACTGATAGCCCCATTACTTTCCCTAGAACTGCTCCCTGCGAATCAGGCTGCTGGAAAACCCTCATCAGTGTATCCTTCATACTGACTTCTTACTTTCCTACCTCTGTGGCTTCCTTTCTCAAGTCAGTTAGGAGGCCTTGTAAAATCTCTAAATGCAAAGTAGTGGAACAAGAGGAACAAGCTGGTCTAGTGATTGGTGACCCTGCCCACGGCAGGGGGGTTGAAACTAGATGATCTTTGAGGACCTTTTCAACCCAGGCCATTCCATAATATGGTATGATATGATGTGATATGATATGATATGATGTGATATGTGTAGCCCTTTGCAGCTCAGTAGTCAGTGAAGCTTTCCCTTGGTATCTAGGAGGGCATTGCCTGTCTGTTCTCAAGAGCAAAAAACTCTTTGCTTCTACTGAACTGCCATCCTTATTTCAGTTAACTCATTCTGTTTGTGATATCATTGTATATTTATTAGATTTGGCCTCTTGCTGGCCTCTTTTTTTTTTTTTTAATCTAACATCACTTTCTATATTTTACTATATAAACTCATCACAATAAATAAACAGTGATGTCCTATGAACTTTTAGAAGGGAAATGAATAAAAAGGCAAATCTGATTTCCAGGGTTTGAATAGGGCACTTTACGTTCTGCTGAGACTTGGCATAGAGCTTAAAATGGGAAGTGTGTCCTCTACACACAATGCACTGTATTAAAAATATCCTGGATCGTGTCTGCAAGAGGAGGGAAGTGTCAAGATCTGAAATCTTCAGGGAACAATATATAATTTTGTCAGTGCACCTGTGAAATAATTCTGTGGTACTAGTACAGAGAGCTGTTCTTTCTTTGGACACCTTCATCAGTTACTCATCATCTCTTTACCTTTGCTTGGAAACCTACTTCCACTTGGTTATCACTTTAAACTGATGTGAGCCATTCCTGGAGATGCTCAAGGTCAGGCACGATGGGTCTCTGGGCACCTGGTGAAGCTGTGGGTTTCCACGTTCATTGCAAAAGAGAGACAGTGGATCCTTAAAGCTCCCTTCCAACTCAAGTGATCTTTTTCAAGTTGTCAAGATTATATTGTTCAGGGATTGACTGTATGCAATTTTTTCCCATGGTGAGAGTATGTCCTGGCCCCTTGCATGCTTTACAGATTCACATTCCCTTTAGCTAAATTATTTTGGAGCTATGTTGAGTGGTGAACTCTTCAGCAGCAGCAGTGCCCACAACCTCCGTATTTGCTGATACAAGGCAAAAGGTCAGTATAATCTTGAGTTCTATTTTTTTTTTCCAAACAGCAAGATTGCACCTGGGGCATGCAAGACCTGCTCATTTCTGTGAATTGTCCAAAACTTCCAAAAATGGTTACAAAAGTGGTTATTCTGGGTCTTCAACATGTGACTACTTTGATCTGCATCTGTCTGAACAGCATTTAAATGTTACACTTCCCTAGCCACTCCTTGTCTGAAGATCTGCTTTAAATCTTCAGCAGAACAGGGGAACCCTCTAGGACAGGTGAGGCAGAGGGTTTCTGTTTCTGGACTGGGTGTTTGTTGTACACGAACCATGACATCTGTCCCCACTGCAGATATTTCACCACAGGATACGCAAGGAATAGTCAGGGCTTCAAAGGGAAATGGGAGAGTTCCTGTGCGTAGTCAGAAGGCTTGATATGCAATCTGTGCATTCCTTTGGAAAGCTGCTGCTCTGGTGTATTGTTGTGCACAGGCCTGTTTTGACTGCTGCTTGTGTCTCGGTAATCTCATTTGCAGAGTAGGAAGTAGACTTTATTTTTGTTGTATGGATGGATTCATTCCAAGTAGATTGAAACAAAAAATCTTCTATAAATTAACTTTCTCTGCTTAAAAAATGTGTTCTTTAATGTGACACTTTTAAATAGTTGCTCATGTAACTTACATTAGGTAACGACTAGCTTATCCACTTGGAGATGATTGTGCCTTTCTAAGTCCCACAGGCAAGAATGACTATTTTCAATGTGTTGGTATTTGATGACATTCCGTGCAACTGCTGAAAATAGCAGTGCATCATTCATGCAACTGAGCACCAATCTTCTTTCGAAGCTCAGATGCCCCCATAAATAAGAGCTCCATGCAGGAAGATTGTTAGTGCTGCAGAGAGCAAGCTCCTGACATAACGCAGCAGGCACTATTCCTGCTACTGATCTGGCATGTGATGACTCGCAGGAGGATTGCCTTAATGAGGTGACTGCCACATGCAATATTTATGAGCTTTGTACCTTTGGCTGCCAATGTGCAGCAGTCGTCTCCACCAGGCTGGGTGTGCAGGGACTGTGTTAGGATTTGCAGTGTCTTCAGTATTCATCTCTGTGCCTGGATGCTGCACGCTCTGAACCCCACACTTTGTGTTAGGAGCACATAAGACACACGTAAGGATGCACGTAAGGAACTTGTAGCACTCAAGTCTTCTGATGTGTATTCTGAAGGAAAGTTGTGCTGTTCAATGACAAGGCTGTTGTCTGCTCAGAAAAATGAGATTATATGTAGAGTTTCTCTTTGAGGCAATGCCTCGGCCACATTTCTTGAAGCTTTCATCTATTAAACTTGACTGCGTGAGTGTGGTGCTGCAGTGGCTTTCTAGCTGAGCATCAATTTCCATCTTAAACAGTATCTGATGACTGCTAACTGCCTGATCCTTCCTTTATCGAGCCGGATCCTATTAGCATCCCACTTAATGAGGCATTTGCACACCTTTGCAGAGTGAGCTGCACAGGTGCCTGGGACGCTGCTCTGTTAAACTTTGCTGCAGGACTTCTGAGAATCTGTAGAAATGTGGGTAAGAGACATGACCTCAGCTTATTTTCAGCACCTCCTTCCAGCTGCTGAACACTGTCCTGTGCCATCAGCCCAATGCTGGTTCAGACTCTGTTAGTCGTAAGGAAAGGAGGACAGTGGGACTGACCAAACTCTTTCTGTTTTGCTAGCAGTGCTGAAGGCAAAATGTGTTTGGTGCTTAACCTGCAGCTTATAAAGAACCTGATAGAAATTTTCAAGGGAATCAGTAGTAAAATGGGATCTGTTCCCTCATTTGGGGAATGGAAATGCATTTTTCTATTTCATTTAGTCTGAATATTAACCAACTGTAACACAAACCGTATTTGTAAATAACTTTCACTTTTAATTATGGGAATGGGTTCAGCTTGTAGATCAGTCTTGCTGTCTCAAGGCAGTCCAGTTTTTCTTCCTGCTCCCTGCTGTCGTTGCTTTTTCTCCATGTGTTTGGTCTTCTATCCCCTCCTTAGAGTACAGCAGGTACCTGAAAGTAACCTATACATGCTCTTTCTCTCATACTTGGGCATGGTGGTATGTGTTGATGTTTGAACTTGATGATCTTAGAGGTCTTTTCCAATCTTAATGATTCTTTGATTCTCTTTCTGTATTATGTAACTATCTTCTTATGTGTCCTCATATCTTGCAGTGTTGCAGTGTGGCTCCTTACAGCTCTTTGCTTTTTCTCCCTCCCCAGCTCTTCACACAGCTTAAACTTCAACACGAGCAGTACATCCTCTGCTGTTCAGTTGTGTTCTTAGGTCTTAGGATTAGGAGAGATGATTTAGACAGACAGGGTAGCAAAGGTAGAGCAGCTGACAACAATGATGGTAGGAACTGGCAACCTAAAGGATTCTGTATTTCACCTTAAGTATCAGAGGAGTGTCACTGTAATGTATCTTTGTTGGAAGCGTCCCTTCATGCTTTCAAAAAAATGTGCTTCCAAAACTGGTGTGCTTTATTTACTGTCCTGCAGGGCACGCCACTTTTGAACTGGGAGCTACGTGGATTCATGGTTCACATGGAAACCCAGTCTATCATCTAGCAGAAGACAATGGTTTACTTGAAGAGACTACTGATGGTGAGAGAAGCGTTGGCCGGATCAGTCTTTACTCCAAGAATGGGGTGGCTTATCATCTTACCAACAACGGGCAGAGGATCCCAAAAGATGTGGTTGAAGAATTCAGTGATTTATACAACGAGGTTGGTATTCAGTGTGAGCTTGTACTGTGTACTACTAGGTGAGGTTGTAGTTCTGCATGAAACACTGGGAGCCTTTGCTATTTCTACAGAGGTAGAAATCCAGTAATGTCTTGAATTTCTTTTCAAAAAATCAACCCTAAGTTTTTGCTCATCATCTTAAGCACAACCCGTTTGTCTCTGGTGTGGGATTACTGTTGTTGTTGAACAATTTTTCCACGACGTCAATTTAATCGCTTCCAGTGATTGCTGGGGAGACCCAATCATCTGCTCTAGAAAGTTGCTACTTAATGAAAAGGGTAAGAGGAGGGATCAAATTACTAAACAAAGCAGAATGCAAAAGCTTAGCAACAACCAGCTAAACATTGTAGCCCTGTGACATTTTATTGATGTTATAAATACCATAGTGTACAGTGCAGTGTGCCAAAGTCAACTCTGTGTCGTAGGAATTGCAAGTTTTCCTGCATCAGAAGGGAAAGGACATCTTTTATTGTAGATTCAGGCCAGCATTGGCTTTGGTTTCTAACTTTTTTTTGCTCAGTGCTCAGTGTTTACTCATATACACTGAACAGAAGAGGTCTTCAGGATGTGGTAGAAGAGCCAAACAGGAGAAAAAAACCCGCACAATTACACATGCAGAACCTAAAAATATTGAAAGGGAGACTGCAAGATGGAAATGGAAATAAATGTTTAATGGAAAGATTAAGTTCTGCTGAAGAAGCTGTAAGGCAGTGTTAAATTCTTAGACGAGAATCACCAACACTACGTTGATTTAACTGGGCAACACAGTTGTGATCCAAATCACAGCCAAACATTATTATTTTCATCAGTCTGTAGGCATGCCCACAACCTTCAATTTTCATCTGACTGAACTTCATAGCATCAGATGCATGGATAAACACACAGTAGGGTGAATTACCCTTGGATAGTTTCTGTTTAAAAATCTGTCCATCAAAATTTAGAAAGTCTCCAAGAGAAAAATCACTGTAGCCTGTAAAGAATTATTAAGAACTGAATGTGGAGGAGGGATGTGGATTTTTCACTTGGAAAGAATTTAGTAATACATCCTGGGGCTCTAAACTGCAATCTGTGATGAGATGGCACAGAATTATATCAGTTTTAGAGAAAAGTCATAGGAATTTCAAAGAAGCCTCATTATAGGGGGAATTTAGCAATCTTAGGAATTTAGTATGGAATTATTTAGTAATTCAGCATGGAAAGGAGATCATTCTGGACAAATGTAAGCGGGGGTAATTCATCTGAGCTGCTTTTTCAGACTACTGGGTCAAAACAGAACCACAACCAGCCAGAAAGAAAGATGGGTTAAATATGTGGAGCAAGATTAACAGCATATAAGAATCGAAGAGAAGGAGGAAGTAAGTGAAAATACCTCCGTGAGCAGCATTACTTATGTAAATGAAACTCCACCAACTCCTTGCACTGCTCAGTGATCATCCTATCTCAGAGATGATTAAGAAAGTCTCCACCAAAGGGAGGGTGTCAGGTGCTGACTCTGAAAGGAAAAGGGACTACAAAGATGAGAGCTACTTGGCTTTGAGATACAGTCAGTAAGATAGAGGCTGTAACAAGGTGTCAGTGTTTTAAAAATGATTAATTTGCTAAATCTGCCCTTCCTTTTAAAGCAAGAAAAAGGAGGCAGCCAGTGACATGAGAGAACAACACATTTAAAGTTAATCTTCTGTATGCAGCGTGTAATTAGCTTATCGTTGCCACAGGATATCTTTATTGCTAGGAAACAGAGAATGGTTTCGCATTTATGAACTGTAAAAATGTCTACAGCTACTCTCTACAGTAAAGAATTTACAAGGGACAGCTTACCCAAGGAGAGGACATCAGGCAGCCTCTGACTGCTTTGCTTTCTCTTCAGTCCCTCAAAACGTGCTCGAATTTCTTGCAGGGCAGCCCATGTTTTTATTTAGCTTCTTGTTCCAAGGTGTCAGATTGGACAGTCTGAGTTAAGAGGGCAGACTGAGCTGTTCCCTGCACCCATCAGGAAGAGTGGTTTCTGTGACCTGAAAATCACCACTTAAAAAGACTGTATGTATATACAAATGCCTCAGTGAGGGGGAAGACAGGAACATGTGCAGTATGCAGGCGGCTTTGGGAACCTTTTCCTCTGACATAAGTGCAGGGAATGTTTCTGTTTACATGTGCTGAGTCAGCCTGGTGCTTTTCTATTTTTTTCCTCTCCTCCTTCTTACCCCACTTTTGTTTTTTTTCTTTTCTTTTTTTTTTTTTATTGCATTTTTCACAAGAGTCCATTCCAACTTCCTTTTGGTCCCAGCTGCCCAATATCCTGTTGTTTTCTCTGGTGATGAAATGGGTGCTGGGAAGAAGCAGTAGAAATTTGGTCTTCAGTTCTGCCACTCTTCACTTTTAGGAGACAGGATTCTGTCTCCTAGGATAGGTGTTAGAATACTGTGAAGTTGCCCAACACAAACAATCATTTTACAGATCACCAAACCCTGTCATCAGGCTCCTGCTCTGCCTTATAGGAACTCCCAGACCCTTCCTGAAGCCTTGGTCCAACATCATCTCTCCGGCTGCATCTCCCCCTGTAGAAAAGACTCGTATAGCAAAGGCTGTGACTGACACAAGCTGTCCTGACTTAAAAAAGAAAAAAAAAAATGATGCAGAGCCTAATCAGGGATGGAGCACTGGCATTAACAGTGGAAAATGTAGTCCTGAATGGACAGAGGCTAAATTTGTCACAGCTTCAGACGCTTGCCTTCCCCTGCACAGCATGCTTGCTTCCCATGCTCTCAGACTGCTCTCCTTTTGCTGCAGCCATGTGCCTAGGCTCTTCTGCGTGCCTCCACCTCTGCTTCTCCGTGTGTATTTCTCTAGTCTCAGTTATTTTGTCATTTGGATACCACATTCAAGTGAGTGCAAAGCACAGAGGATCTCCCTCAAGTGTTTCACTTGGAGATATGGGATCACTGAGACTGCAGCCAACAAGGTGAGGTCTTCCTCTGCATACTGAATTCCCCCTGTGTGAATAGCAGTGTATCCCAGTATCTCCAACTTAGCCTCACTAATTCATCTGGAGAGTGCTGAGGCTTTTTCCAGGCACTTATCCAATCTTTTTTGGCTGGCTTCTGCTTCTATGTGAGTTTTGCTTCTTTTTGTTTGCAGTAGCCTGGATTTCTAACAGCTGAAAGGGTGCCTCACAGAAGCCTCTATCTGGTTACAAGGAAGCTGAGCCATCTTCATTTTATAGCAGAAAGTTTCCTATGAGAGTCTGTCTTAGCTGAGAACAACTGTTGTTTTAAGACTCTCAGACCTTGCACTGTGCAGCACTGGCACTATTCAGGTCCATGAGGTCCATTTGCCCTCAAAGAAAGGAGAAAAAGTTGTGCACCAGCACTGAATCATAAAATCATTAAGACTGGAAAAGAGCACTGAGATCAGCAAGTCATCAACCCGTCACCATCATGCCCACTAACCGCATCCTTCAGTGCCACTGGCTGGTTCACCAGGGTGTGATGCCACACGTTCTTGGTCTTCCCATCTTTCTCTCTGCTCTGGATAGGATGATTTGGGGAGCCTGGGGCTGAGAAGTGTTTAGGACTCTATTTCCTTATGTGTGACCCACAAAGAAAAGGGGCAGGAGTGGGAAGGACGGGGTTATGTATGCAGCTTGAGTATCTGTGTGTGCATGGGGAAAAGTGTAACTGAGGACAGCCTATCTTAGAGTTAAGATGGGTCACTTCTGTCACTATTTAGTCCTCATTTTCCTCTGCAAACAAGCATTTATTGCCAGTTCCCAGGTATTTGTGAAGGATGGCAGGGAGGTGGTGAGCTTCAGTTAAATGCACTATGCTTGCCCGTGTGTTTTGCATTCTACTCGCCAGCAGTAGATTTTTACTTAGACTTCTCAGTTAGGCCATGGTCCCTAATGATTTGCTTCTCAGGAACTCTCTCTTTAACTATCAGCTAATTAATGGCCTTGTTATCTCTCTCCTGTGCACTGGGGAGGGATGCAGCCAAAGAATGACAAAGTTTTTCACCCTTCACACCCCCACCCTGTGCTGGGCTTTGTGCCATCTCCAATTAAGCTCCAGTGTGTTGTGTTATTTAGAGAGGTGGACCAAAGGGCCATGGAGAGTCAGAGTTCCCTCCCTGCCTTTCTTTTGCACTGGCAGATGTCTGGCCTAGTAACAACATGAGCCTATTTCCATCAAGGTCTAGGGCTGACCGGGGATTTAAATCACTTGAGTTTTTAACAAAGTGAGGAAAAGGCAATGCTATGGATCATCACTGGCACTGACAGGAAGAAGTGTGGCTTGGGATGTGCTTTCCTGACCTCCTTCAGCCCTGAGAAGCTTCTTTATTTAGATTTGTTCTTCCTAAGAAACTGCCTCTTCCTGTGGTAAGTGAGCACTGACGTATAAACACATGTAGGTAATAGAGGGGACATCCTTGATAGAGCCCACATTCCCTTCAAAGACCCCTGTTATTGGGTGCTTCCAAGCAAGTCAGAAAGGAGACAGAAGAAGGGAAGCCATTGTAGGATCATGCCCTTTCCATTAACGCCTGATCGTATTTTAGTATTTCATCTTCAATCCCATGTAACCTCAGGATTGAATGTAGATCCTCAGAACTAGGGATGAAATGTGCCTATAATGTGTAGCTGCTTGAGATATTCTACTTCTTGTGCTTCTGCTGGTAGTGCTTTTTGGGCTAATTTTACTGCCTGAACCCAGATGTAGGATGTCCCGATGTGGGATTTGCTGTCATCTATTATCAAGCTTCTTTCCTGATAATGGATAAAAGCACTGAAATAACAGGGATTCTGAGGAAAAAAAATAGTAAATCTGGGTGCCAATCATGCTCATTCATTATCTGATTGATGGGATGACATCCATAGGAGCAGCTTTCCTTGGTGAGCACAATGAGTTGGGGGCATTTCTGCTCTTTTCTCTGTTGGGCAATGAAGAGTACAACAGTTAATAAAAACATACCCATGGCTCACGTATCCTTTTGGCCAAATGGTAGCTGGATTTTAACACAGCTTTGCTTGTCTTGTGATCGTGTTATCTGCTTATAGTGTGCAATCAGCTTATGGAAGCTGAGCTGCATTGACTCAAGGTCCTTGCAGCTTGTACTTGCTGGAGATGGTCTGGGCCTTGGGAATCTATAGATTGAGAGTAATGGGGTGCTGAAACTGCCAAATTCCATTGCTGTCTCTAGGAGATAGACAAGATACCATTCCCTTTCTTTTGCTGGAAGCCTTTGTTTTGTAAAGGGCATTGGTCTTCACCTTTCTCACCTGGAAATCTCCTTAGAGAGCCTTAATGTCTCAGTGTCTGCAAGTCTCACTTATCTTCAGCTCCTCCACTCATTTTTCTTATTCTTACACTTTATCTTCCCTTTTTTCCCCTATGTTTTTGTTGTCAGTTTTCTCCTCATTCTTTACTTGTCCTCATCTGTTCTCTCCTCCATTTACTCACAGACCTGCTCTCTCTTTTTCCTACCACTCCTGTATGTTTTCTCTCAGCACCTTCCCATCTTCATTATTCTTCCGTTTTGCCTCCTGAAATTCACAGTACTTCTAAAACCCCAGGGGAAGTCAAGTTTCTGAGGAGCACTGAGGTGAAGGAAGCTGGAACATGATTAATTATCTGTATCAGTAGACAATGAAAGGCTGTTGGAGCCTTTGATGGACAGCTAGCTGCCTGCCAAGCACTTATTTATGAGCTGAAGCCTTCAGTTTGCTTAATTCATCTGTCTCCAAAGAAAGATGATGAGTTTTAGTGAAACCAACTTAGATGGGAAAAATTGAGCAGAGATGTAAGTGAGAGAATGGAATCATTAAGGTTGGAAAAGGCCTCTAAGGTCATCAAGTCAACCCATCACCACTATGCCCACTAACCATGTCCCCAGCCTCCAGGGATGGTGACGACAGTGACTCATTCTGGGCAAACAAGTCAGTAATGGGATGAGTTGCCCTTCTGGGAAGCACTTTTTAAAAGCTTTCCTCTGTTAAAAGATTCCTCAGAGTTTTTCCATTGAGATGAAGAGCCGTGATTCAAATGCATGCTCTTCTGAGAGTCTTAAGAGGCAGAAATATTGACATATTCCGGACAGCCACAAGCAAGTGGCCAAGGTGGATGGTTGTTTCCTTGCTTTTAAGTAGCTGATAGAGTGGAAATCCAGGGCTGAAAAATGTCAGGGATCTGGGACTGCACCTGGGACACAGAGGTGGAAGAGGACTTTGAATGGACTACGTCACCTGCTCTTCTGCAAGTGATAGAAAACACATGTTCCAATAAATAATCACTTAATAGTTAATATTAACTTAATAATGAAGTATGGTGAGTAGGCTGTTGCTGGCGAGTAAGGGTGATTATCTTAGGCCATTTGTCTTTGCCTGGAGGGAAGTCTTGTTTCCTTCCTTCTACCCGGCACAGCTGTGGGTGCAGTCACACGTGGTGTTGGAGCAGGGTAATGAACTAAATCTCAGAGATTGGCAAGGGAAGGTAACCTGAACATGCTGGATTTGGATGGAGGAAAAAGCGTCCTGTTTGGGGGCTTGGATGCTGTTTTGAATCACAATGTCCATTTTCCTTGTCCCATCTCTTACAGGTCTATAACCTGACTCAGGAGTTCTTCCAACGAGGTAAACCAGTCAATGCTGAGAGCCAGAATAGTGTGGGTGTCTTCACACGGGATGTAGTCCGGAAACGTGTCAAGGCTGATCCAGATGACACAGAGGCTGTCAAGAGGTTGAAACTAGCCATGATCCAGCAGTACCTTAAGGTGTGTGCACACATTGTTGTTTCATTGTTTTTACTTCTGTCCCATCACTGAGGAATCACTGTCTGTGGGCTCTTGCTGTTGGGCAGGTTTTTGTTTATATGGACAACCTTTCCTCTTGGGACATATGCTGAGACAGTGGGCTGTAGGAAACAATGCATTTGTTGCTTTTTTTCTTAGCTTTCTAGCTTTTTAATTAGAATGGGATTTCCTACGTCATGTTAAATCTTCTAGTTGGATTTAAGGTTTTCTTATACCTGGAGCTACTCTTTTGCCATCTTCTTCTAGTAATATGTTGTCTTGTGCCTTACACTTGGCACCCCGTGATCCCACCAAATATCTTTTACCCCCTTCTGCCTCTGCCCATATCTCAGAGACCAGAAGAAATGTATCTCTGGTGTGAGTGATTTGCTGAAGAAATCCCTGGAAAGCATTTTGAAAGGTAAAGGAATAAAGTCAAAGGCAGATTTTATAAACCAGTGTTCTAATCATCTTTCCTCACGGCTTCCCTAGTTCTTTTATCTCCTTGATGCCTTGGCCTAAATGAGATCTCTGTGGGACAAGGAGTTAAAGCTGCATCAAGCAAGTAAAGTGTAACAGTCATTCCTTTTTCAATTATAATGACTTAAAGGCTTATGAAATGAGGCAGGGGAGCCAGGCAGCATTCTGTCACATGGGTAAGTATGTGATATTCACTGTTATTAGGTGGGAAAACTGAAACAGAGATAAAGACTTAAGAGTATCCCAAGAGGTCTGTGATAAAGCTGAGATTTGAACTCGGGCATCATAAAACTTT